TCAAGTTGTCCTAAGCAATAAATATTTAGTAGTTATTAATTTGTAAAATTAAAAAATAAGGGTTAATATAAACATTGACAGCTTTTGGTCTGAGGGAAAAACTGACTGCAAATTTTTCTGGCTCGTGTTTGTTTATAAATAACCTAATTAAAAATATTGGTTCACTGGGGATTTTCAACGCAATAATAACTTGGAGCTTTTGAAAATCAAAATTTGCAGAATAGCATAAAAGAATGGTATTGATGAATCTTGTACTTGGCTGGCTGTTAGTCTCCTGAAGATCTCTGCATCACAGAAAAGAAGAATGCATGCCTAGTTATGACTGAATAATTAAATATATAATTTATACTACTATTCTGACCACATCATATACTGCACTCTTAGGATTCCCTGATTATATAGTTAGGTTACAATCATTATAGCTATCTGCATGTTACTTTAGAACAGTGGTATTCAACCTTTTTCCACGGCAGGTTGGATGGACAGCACCCAGTCGGTCCACAGGCTGGATCCAGCTGGTGGTCCTGATCTGGTGCCTGGGACCGGCATGGCAAGCACCATCTGGCCATGCAGAGCAGGGTGGGTGGCAGAGGGCAGGGTGGCTGCAATGCAGCTCCACAAGGGAAAGAAACTTGTCCCAGCCCAATGGAGCAGGGAGGGAGAGGGAAGGAAGCATGGCCTGGCCCTGTGGGGAACATGGGGAGGAGAAGGAAGGTGCATGGCCAGGTTCCAGCCTTGCCTGAATTAGAGGGAAGGGGCCATGCCCCAGCCCTGTATAGGGAAAGGGGCATGACCTGGCACCACAGCGGGGGAAGGTGATGTGGCTTGACCCTGATCCAGAAGTGGGGGCTAGGGCATGGTTCCAACCTGCTGTACAGGGGTTTAGGAGGGAGGAGGATGCCTGTATTAATGGTCACTGCTTCCCCACTGCCAAATTTTCGAACCTATAAGGGCCCCACAGGCCAGATGCAATGGTTCTGCAGGCTGCATTTGCCCCATGGGCCAGAGGTTAAGCACCCCTGCTTTAGAGTTAAAAGAGGAATAATGAAGGTAACATAAATAAAAGCCAAAATATTTCTGTACTGAATACCACCTTCATGTTGGGTGTTCATGTTTGCTCTGTACTTTTACCTGCACTTGTAGTTTATTTTTAAATTTTTTATTCTAAGCATTAGTTACCTATAAAGTTAAGCACATGTTTACCAGGATCAGAGCCTTAACTTAAGCTCTTTGTCGAAGTACCACATCATTTATTTTGTGAACATTAGGCATTTGATTAGTCCTGTTACTTGTGCATTTATTTAAATATTTACTTCTTTAGAGACCTTAGGTTGATTGGTCCCCAAGGTTCTCCACCCGCATCATGAAAATATAGTATTTATTAGGGCTGTGTGAAACAGCACCATTTTGTTTCGATGTTCCGTTTCAATGGGACAGTGTTTCGTTTCGAGTTTCATTTCAAAACCACTGTTCCGTTTTGTTTCGTTGAAACTCTTTCACTGCTTCAGTGTTTTGCCCATAGGCTATAATGGGGAGCCATGAAACTGCCTATAACTTTGTCAGTTCTTGCCTGATTCAGATGGAACTTGCAGGAATGATAGCTCCTTCTGAGGCCGTGAAGCCTGCCATGTTTCAAGGACATAGTTGCAGGGATTTTTGGGAAACTGCACCTCAAATTTTTGAAAGCAAAACTTGTGTCACGTGTATGTTTTAAGACACAGCAGGGTGAAAACTGCAGGGGTGGTAGCCCCTGCTGAGGCCATGAAGCCTACCAAGTTTCAAGGAGTCAGGTCCAGGGGTTTCTGGGAAGCTGCACCTCAAGCTTCTGAGAAGCAAAATCCATGACGTGTGACTGTGTGTGTGTGTGTGTGTGTGTGTGTGTGTGTTAAGGCATGGGGGTGGTGAAAACTGCAGGCATGCTAGCCCCTGCTGAGACCATGAAGCCAGCCACGTTTCAAGGAGATAGTGCCAGGGTTTCAAGCAAAACTCATGACATGGGTGACAGAAAGCAGGCCAGTTCAAACAATGCTGCCTTTATCCTGTTTTTCCAATCCCAGTTCTCTGGGGGAGGGATGGAAGGGACCTCAGGGAAGGATGACAGTCACTGGCCAGCTACACAATCAATATGAGAGCAGTCCTTGCCCCCTCTTCCCCCTCCCTCTCCTTACTTTGTTTCCCTGCAGGCAAGCCCTGCTTGAGTTTCGAAACTCAAAAAGTTTCGAAACTTGAAACATTTCAACTGCCCTCGTTCTGTTTTGAGGCTGTTTAGAAGCTTTGTTTCGTTTCGATGTTGCTGTTTCAAGCTCAAAACGAGTTGAAACAGCATTGAAATGAAACAGCCAGTGAAATTTCACACAATCCTAGTATTTTTTGTCTTTGATATCCATTTATCTGCAAACAAGCATAAAAAAGCAAGAGCAGTTAAATTTGCCTGAAGTAGAAACTTCTTTAATGTCAACCCTGAGCAATAGGGTTTAGAATGTTTCTTATACAACCTGTGCCCTTTTTTTTTCCAGGCTCAGTGCATTGTATGCATGCTGTCCTAAGAAGAAATAAATGTTACAAGTAGTGTCTGAAAATAGATTTGACTAATTTTTGTTATTAACAGGCTCAGTTCAAGAGTATGCATTGTTGTAAAAAAAAATCTAAAGTCATCAGTAGATGTATGCTGTGGTTCTAAGGAAATTTGGTTTTGTTTGGTTTTTATAATAAGTCAGCCTGTGTACTTCTAGTATTGTAATAAATGAAGGAAGAGTATGTTCAGGACTGAAACAGAGAGAGGGTCTGAGAGTCTCCTAGCATTAGAATCTTTACACAGGCACACAAACCTTGGAGTATCTTTTAGATTCTTTTTACATTTTTCATATGTAAATATATGAAATCTATAAAACGGGGTTTTTTTTTAAATACATATTAAGGCACAGTAAAGTCTTGTAGGGTGAACACAAGTGTTATCTTAATCCTGCTGAGGGCTGAAATATTTGTAAGAAGGGAAATTTATTCCCACAAGGGATTGCCCAAAATAAACTGTTTCTCCCTTTCCCCCCAATTTATTCTTCCAACAAACTAGCATCAGCAATTATAGAGACAGGGCATTTCATGGGGCAAAAATTGAAGTGTATGGCACATCTGATGAAGGTGTCCCTCCTTACTATAGAATCATAGAAAATTATGGTTGGAAGGGACCTCAGGAGGGTCTCTGGTCTAATTCCCTGCTCAAACCAGGACTAGCCCCAACTAGATCATCCCAGCCAAGGCTTTGTCTAGCTGGGTCTTAAAAACCTTCAAGAATGGAGATTCCACCACCTCTCTGGGCAACCTTTTTCAGTGCTTTACTACCCTCCTCATTGTAATTTTGTTTCTAATAACTAATCTAAGCTTCCCTTGCTGCAACTTGAGACAATTTCTCCTTGTGGTTATGACTTTGCATTTATCCTTATTGAATTTCATGAGGGATCCTTTGGTCCAGTCCTCCAATTTGTCTAGGTCTCTCTGAATCCCAGCCCTACCCTCCCGTGTATCTAGTGTTTGTTGTGGGTACACTCCATCCCACCTTCCAGGTCTTGGATGAAGATATTGAACAACACTGGGGCACTCTACTTGACACTGGCTGCCAACTAGATATTGGGCCATTGACTACTATCCTTTGATCCCGATGATCCTGCCAATTTTCTATCCATTTTACAATACGTTCATCCAACCTATACTTCCTTAGTTTGGTTGCAAGAATGTTGTAGGAGACCGTATCAAAAGTTTTGCTAAGATCCAGGTATGCCACATCCGCTGCTCTCCCCACATCCACAGAGCCAGTCCTCTCGTCATTGAAGACAGTCAGGTTAGTCAGACATGCCCTTGGTTAATCCATGCTGACTGTTCCTAGTCACCTTCTCCAGGTTCTTGGAAATGGATTCCTTGAGGACCTGCTCCATGATTTTTTCCAGGGACTGAGGTGAGGCTGACAGGGCTGTAGTGCCCCAGATCCTTCTTCCCTTTCTTAAAGACAGGCACTCTTTTTGCTCTTTTCCAATCATCTAGGACCTCTGCTGATCGTCACCAGTTTTCAGAGATGATGGCCAGCAGCTCTGCAATCGGTCATATTACCCAACTCTCTCAGCACCCTTGCGTGCATCGTGTCCAGCCCCATGGACTTGTACACATCCAACTTTTCTAAATAGTCCATAACGTGTTCTTTCGCCACTGTTGGTTGCTTGCCTGTCCCCGAAACTGTGCTGCCAGGTGCAGTAGTCTGTCCTTAGAAATTGGTAGCATGGGATATGGAATGGCTCACATCTTAGGAACACCAGCAAGTATTAGGTTTCCTGTTCATAGGCCGGTTACTGTCACATAATACAAGTGGACTTTAGGCAGGTGTCTAGAGTAAGAAAAATGTAACCTAAAGTTGAAACTAAAATGAACTTGAATGCAACTTGGATAATATTTTTAGGTATTTATTTCTAATATTCTAGCCCTAAATCCTCCCTTTCAATCCATGTGACAACCAGAAAAAGACATGTAATATCTGATTAGAACACTGCAAATGATTTTAACAAATAGGAATCAGTAATTACCAGTTATAAGGTAGTTAGGTAATATTTAATTTCTGAAAGTGAGTATAATTTAAATCTGAGTAAAGTTATTTTTTTGCTTAAGTGTGGCAGGGTGTGGTCATAGTTAACACTTTTATATAAGATTTGTAAGAACCTTTTTTGAATATCTATTATTATAAAATACTAACTCAGATCATTTATAGCTGATCTAAATCAACATATTTCCATTGACTTCAACATTCCTACATCAGTTTATATTGGCCATAAATCTGTCCTGAAATCTTTCTCTTTACTTTCATTGTACATGTTGTGAATTTGTTAAACCTCTTTAGAGTTTACTTAACTTACTAGTAAATTAAATATAGTTAATGAAATCACTGTGGGTATGCAGTTTTAACAACTATCAGCAGCAGATTCTAATGTAAGTGTGTTTTATCATTCTTTCTAATTAAGAAACAGAGCAGTCGATTGCTGGTGTTGAAGATGAAGATATGAAAAGTTATCAGGTATGAACACAAAGCTATGCCTTTTTGGCAAATGTAAATCTTAAGAAGAGCTGATTTGTGAGATAAGGGTTTATGGCTATGTAAATATAATTTCTATAAGTGTTTACTCCTAAAGGAGTTGGTATGATTGTTATAAGACCACATTTTTAAAAAGCAGATAAATAGTTTAATTAATTTACCACTGTCTCTAATTAAATTAAAAAGAACTTATTTGAGAAAATTTGAGTTTATTTTTACACCTACAAAAGCCATGCACTTGTTTTCAGATATTGCATAACTGACTTTTTTTTTTCCTTCTGTGAAGAATTTGCAACCATGTATTTTAGTCAGAAAATTTCCCTTCTAGTTCCCCACTTGTCCACTTAGATCATTTTAGAATAACTGTATACGTTGTTGTCACATATATGTTCCTTCATAGGCTGAAACAAAATTTATATTTTTAGTTCTTGGGGTTCTCGAATACAAAGGTGTTCAACTCATTTAGCTCCGCAGGTTGCATCTGGACTGCAGGACTTCTAGCAGGCTGGATGGACCCACCTATGGCTACAGGGCAGCAGCTTGTAAGAGTGACTGCCAGAGCCCATTCATTGGCATGGTTCCAGGACCCATAGGGTGATTGCCACCATTGTTTGCTTCCCATTTTCCCCTGACACCGATTTGAGTTGCCAGTGGCCACCAAAACACCCGAAATTTGGCAGCAGGCAAGGGAGTGGAAGGTGGGGGACAAGTAGCAGTGTTGTTGACTCCCTGGGTTCCAGATTAACAAGAGCAGGTCCAACAGGCATGCTGACAGTCCCCCTGGACCACAGTCTATCTAGTTGTGGGCCACATATATGATACTAGTTGGACAGCCCTTCTTTAACATCTTTTTTCTCATCTGCTGAATCCTAGCCTCGAATTTAGGTTTATCTAAAGTGACAGAGAGGTTGCATACGAGCTTTTCAACTTTGAAAATAGATTTTGTTAACATTACTTGTGTTTAATGTATTTTTCAGTAGTAAACTCTGGGCCTTTTAAGGCTTAATGTTTTTGGGAATTGCTCTTTTTTCAGGAGCAAAAGTTCAGTAGTAGATTTTTGTGGGGTTATGCCTTCAAAAAAGTATAATTGATTTGTTTATGATCTTTTTATTTGTCTGCATTTTGCTGTAGTAGATTCAACTAAAGGTTTTTTTGTAAATGAACTAGATATGAAACTTGTTTTACAAAAGATTCCTGCAGAGACTTGGCATAAGAGGTCAATTATAATTTTCAATAAAATGTTGTAGAAGCTTCTGGACATTTTTCAGCATAGTTTACTGAAATGTTTTTTAAATAGGCAGTTAGGGACTAATCCAGCATATGTCATAATCATTGGCAAAGTATCAGCTACTTCCCTGGGTACTGGATCAAACGCTAAACTTCTAAAGAATACAAAATGTAGTTTTAAGGAGAACTAGTTGCAGAAGAACACCTCTAACCTGTGACCAGGTCTTGTGACTCATTTTTTTTTGTTCACATGCATGTTGCTATTTTTAAGGAAGTTGCTGGGGAATCTTTCATACAATCCTCTGAAGAGAGTCAAGTTGAAGACACAGGTAAGGCTTTAAAAATGTTACCAATTTTGACACTGGCTAGAGATGAACTACAGTGGGTAAAAGTCCTGTTGCCACCTTTTCCAGAATAACTAAAATGATGTTTGTTAATATGTGCCTACTTTTCATGTTTGCAATGCTTTGTAACTAAAATACAGACTAGGGACCATGTGGAGGCTCTGCAACATTGCTAGTGCTATTCAGTGCAGCATCCATGCAGTATTTAGATCTCAGCACAGAAGGCTTGCTGCTTCTTGCTGTTGGTGTAAGTAATTCAAGGGAGAAAATTTAAAAATTTGTTATGGACTGGCTGTAAGTGACAAATTCATGTTATAAATCCTAGAAAATTTTTGCCTCAAGAGTATGTGCCATAATTTACAATGGGTTAATTAGCAAATTCTTTAGACGGGGCCTTTTCACTGCTGTAACTATATGTCACCATTTCCATATCAGTTATGGGCTTTACATACCAAGTTGTTCGGTGTTATGTTCCTAATTAATTATTTAAGTTATTAATAGCACTACCTTTGTTCAGAATGTCATCAAATACTTATACTTCAGATAACATTTTTCCAATCTGTAATACCTGTTCTTTTGCATTATGTAATTCATGGCTGGTTAGCATCCTACGATTAACTCTTTATTAAATAAAACATCAATTTCATTAGCTAATTTCTTTGATTTACATAACTGCTTTCATAAATATAGTATATCCCTGAAGATGCCCCTTTGCATTTACCTATCAGTGAAAAACAAGTGTGAAAACATTGTTCGTCCTCTTGTCAAATTAAATTTCCTGTTATCTTTAGGATAATGTCCTTATCTATATTCTTTAGTATCCTTACCTATATTTTTAATGCATAATTTACAAAAAACAAAGACGGTTATAAGTTGCATCCTTTCTTTTAAGCCTGGACAATGAAATCCACGGTAAATTTCGAGGTAACTAGAGTGAGTGAGGAACTCAGGTGTCCTGCATATCTCTATTCATGGGAAGCACCAGGTAGTTCCAGACTGTGGAAACTTCTTGAGGTCAGGATCCATTAGAGTGCTTTTGTGACCCTCCCACTCCCACTCCCACTGCTCTGCGTTCCAAATTGTTTCAAAGGTGGAATTCAAAAGGCTTGTGGCATCCTCTGTTATTTCCATTCTTTCCCATCATTACAGCCCTTGTGTGAGCATCTTCAAATACTTAGCACAGTGGTTTTCGACCTTTTTAGATTCAAGGCACCATTTGATAGACTTCAGACACTCCTTGGGAAATGCCAGCTTTTATTTTTCACTCTTCTTTTGACTACAGAAAAATAGAGCAATTCTTCTGTTGCAAAGAACTCAGAAAGATCACAACAGGTCAGAATGGTTTTAACACTATAAATTCCTATAGGAAAGCTCTGGATTTATCTTGTGAATTATGTTTGCATACCAAATAATGCTAACATTGTATGGCACCCCACAACCACAATACCCTTGAAAGGATTTCAAGGTATCCAAGGGTACTGTGACACTTTGTTGAGAATCACTGACTTAGCATCTTGTTTCTTTATAGAAGATTATAGTGTCTTGTCTATAATTTGCCTTTTTATTGTTAGAGATGTGTGAGGGACACCCTGACCTGAGTTAGTCACTTGTGCTTTTGAGGCACGTGCGTGCTCTCATGTGTTCAGGGGTGTCCTTCAGCCTCAAATCCCTGTCTGCTGCTTGATTACTGAAAAGAGACTGAGACGTGCCAGGGGCCAGCTCCTTGGCCTAGGGCACTGAGGCTCTACCCATTTTACCAGCATAAGAACGTAAGTGCCATATTGGTTCAGCCCAGTGGTCTAGCCCAATATTTTTTTTTCGAGCAATGGTAGTAGTGGAAGCTCTAGTGGGAGAGTATTGAACATGGTATATCTAAAGTGATCTATCACACATTTGTTACCCTCCTTGGTATCCACCATCATTGGTTTTGCCAGATCTTAGCAGAGGAAATTTTGCCATCTTAAAGACCTTTTGTCTATCATATGCTCAAAAATCACAGATCCCCCTCTTTTGGAGAAGAGGGCTGCCTGTTTAGTCAAATGCTGTGAAATCACATTTATCACTAACAATAGCTAAGTTATAAAATATAACAAAAGATTTATTATCAAAACAAGAAAACCTTAAGAATCAGTAACCATATTCTAACATGCAGAGATAGACTTTTATTAGTAAATGTTTAGGATTGTGAATCCAAAACTGACAAAGCCGGTAGGGAAATACGTAGCGCCCGAGCGAGGGACTGACAGTAGAAGGATGGGGGTGAGGAGGGGAATGCAACTAGGTTACAGGAGATACAATGTTAGCCAACTAAGCCCGGGGGTAGGGGGGAAGGGGAGGGAGGGGGTTTGTGACACAAAGAGAAAGAAGATAGATACACTCAAACCCGTTACAATGGTCCGCAGTGGTGGAAGAAGTGGTCCAAAGAAAAAGTGCCTCAGTCCATATAGAGTCTCATCGCGGGGGTCCTCTTCGGGTGGAGCAGGGTTGTCCATTGGTGAAGAATCCTCTCAAAGTGAAGGTCCATCTGGTGCAGAGGGGAGGTTCAGGCGGTCCCCTCTGGGTCTGGTCCAGCGGTGGTTCGCCTGGTGGGATCGGTGTACTGGCGGTGGCCTGTGAAGTGTTCCACGTAGATGTCACGGGACCAACAGATGGTGTCAGACACCATGAGGCAGCACATGAGCTTGGCATAGCGGCAGGAGATATGGCAGGCTCTCAGGACTCTCCCGTTGCTGGGGTCCCAGGCTCCGAGCGTTCCCACGATGAGCACGTTGACTGTCACATCGTAGCCATGGCCCCTCAGGATGTCGGCCAGCAGAGCGTACTTCACTTGATCTGAGCCTTCAAGAGGCCAAGAAGCGATAGTAAAAACACAAACAAACAAACAAAGACCAAAAGGAAATATCAGAGCAATGATTGGACCTTAGTCCTGCATCTTAGCTCTAAGCCTTAAAAACATAGCTTCCACTGCTGACTAAGCCAAAGACTTCTTCCAAACTACAGACTTGTATTGCCCAGCTAAACCACCAGAGTCTAAAGCAACTTATGCCCAGGAAACTTTGGACCAATGATTCTCTACCAAGGTACCATGCCACCCTGGGATGCCTTGAGATCCTTTCAGAGATTCTGTAGTGTCACACAGTGTTAGCACTGTTAGATGTGCAAATATAATTCACAGTTAAACCCAGAGATTTCAAACAGGATTTCATAGTGTTAAAAGCATTCTGACCTGTTGTGGTCTGAGTTATTTGCCACAGAAGAATTGCTCTATTATTTTTCTATTGTCAAAAGTCAAATGAAAACTAAAAGCTAACATTTTCCAGGGGGTGCCTTGAATCTAACGAGAGGTCTCTTGAGTAAAACTATTGAGAACCATTGCTTTAGATAATATTTGCCTCTCAAGGACTGACTTAAGTATTTTTTAATTTTTTTAAATCTGGCCATTTTCATTATTCTTTCATTGAAATCTTGGAGAACCTGTGTTATGCATATCCGTTTATTCCCCAAGATGTTCACTGGTTAGTCAAACCACATGTTTTTCCTGATCCATTTATGATCAAGAACATATTTACATCCTTTCAGATATGACGGTACTAATCTAATATTCTAAAGATAGTTTCTCCCCACTCTGTTTTCCCCACTCTAAGAAATACTCTTCTAGTCCCTTCCCTAGTGTCACTCTTGCTACAAGCCTCTCTTTTTAAAATGTAAATTCATCATTGTCTGGAACAGCCTAGCTCATATGCCTCAAACCACATCCACAAGGGCCTGTCTGGCTTACTATTAAGCATACACGTCAGATGCTAATGCTCAGTGGGTGCATCTACACGTTCATTAATGCGCCTTAGATGCTATGCATTTAGTTTAGTACTTATTTAGTAAACTGCTAACTAAATATGCAGTAACTAATGCCAGCGCACAGTTATTTTGTGATGCTTGCTGCACATTAGCCTAATTATACTACACAGTAGGCTATTAGCATGGTTTTTAACCACTATGCTACTGTGCAGTGTTATTAGGATAATGTGGCATAAGTGTCTCTTGTAGACATGCCCAGTGATTACTTCTTTCAGCTGTTTAGACTATGTTCCTCTTCCAGGTGTGAACCTCATTGTTTAGGGAGGAATACCTAATAATCATTATCATATTGCATATTTGTGGCCCTAACTATAAAATACATAAATACATTCATGTCGTTTTAAGTTGAGGGGCTTTTTTCCATGCCAGGTGGGGAGGGAAAAAACCTTGTCTTTTATTTGAGTAAATACATAAATAAAGTGGGTACCACATCTTTCTTTTTCATTCTCTGGCCATGTATTTGAATAAAAGTGGCTGTGGCTGTTGTGCATTGTGCGGAGTTCAGTGCTTCAAGCCTGCTCTGAGGCCATCTACTGGATTGAACTAACTGGAGGATTGAGGTGTGGGGCTACTTTAGTTTGTGAATCCTTAGGGGTTTAAACATCAACATTCAGATAAGCATTAAGACACTAAAAACTGTCAAAATGGCACCTTTTGGTGTTCACAGGCACAGAACTTTAGACTAAAATAATTTTTTTGGTCAACATTTAGTGCCTACAGCTTTTCAGATGCCTAAACAGTTAGGTTTAGGGGCTTTTATATGGGGCTTTATATGCAATTGGCATGTAAGTTCTCTGTTGCAGCTGGCTGTTAATACTGTTGTGCCATGCACCATAAGATAATAAGTGTTTCTTTTCACAGCACAACTAAGGGATTCATTAAATTGACTGATCAGTGTATCTCCCCCCAGTAAAACATCAGATTCTGTTTTGGCAATTTAATTTGGTTCTAACACATCATAGGAAGTCTTCATTTGATCTCATGATACACTGCTGTGTTCTACCTTCTTGTTAAACTAACCTTTATAATAGCTGGAAGGCCATGTTTTTAGAGAGTAAGTTATATGCGATCATGGCAAATCCATTGCTCACTATTGTATGCAAGAATATGATTGTGTTTCACTGTTACTG